TACATTTTACTTTGGACTAGTTCATACTGAAACTTGACTTTGGCCTTAACCAACTCTAGGCGAAAGTGAAATTAGACTTTGGACTAGTTCAAAGTGGAATTTGACTTTGGCCTAGGCCAATATTACAAACAGAAACGCTTACGAAAAATTGTGAAAGAGGATGATACACGACCACAGAAAAGGAGGAAAACAGAAAACAAAACTGTATCTGATAATACAAGTAAGTTAATGTCTGCATGTGCGTGCATTTCAAGAGAAAGAAAGAAAAGATAAATGCAATTCGCATATCTATAACGTCATACCGCCTCAGTAGAAGAGAAAAGAGAAGAAGAAAAAAGAATACGCATGTAGAACATCATCTAACATGTCCCTATATAGAGACCAATGTTGCTGACAAGGATTATAGATTATAGAGTTTTTTCTCTGAAAGTCAGTTTTATTATGTTCATTATCCATTACTGGATATCTGAATAAGACAACCTAATTACAATCCAAATTATACCAACAAAACTCTCTGATAAATGCTTTAATAAAAACTAATCTCATATAGGAATCTGTGTGTTTTGAAATACCAGAGAATCATCGTTGCCCCTTAAGGGGCCATGCGTCCCCAAAGGGTTAAGCACTACGCTGTTCAATATCATTTAAAGCAATTTCTTGAGTTGCAATACCAAAAGCATTAAATGTGCAATATTGTTTACAGTTAGAAAAGCCACGGACTGATGGATTATGAACGATCAGGAACATTTACAATATTGCTCACATCGACGAATCTTGAATAAATTATATTGTTCACACTGGCTACTCATATGATAATGGTACCATTCAAAGCGACAAGCAGCAGTGATACACAAGAAAACCCCCGACCACACGAATTGAAACGTTCCTTACATGGTTTTAATACAGAAAAGAAGCATTCTCCTGAATATCTTATAAGTCCATGTGACCATACACCAAACCTTCCTGATCGTCCATCAGCCTCGGAGCTGCAGTGTCATGGTTCGGCGGAAGACAAATTTCTCGCACTCTCAATGCTGTTACAGAATATTCCAAAGCTAGATCATAATCTCCCTTCCTATGATAAATATTCATAATATTCAGGAGACTAACAGCTGTACTGTCATGCGCCGAAGACCAATTTCTTGCATTACCTATGCTTTCAGGTAATATATCAAAGCTTGCTCATTACCCCCCGCCGCTTGATAAATATTCCCAATATTCATGAGACTCTCAGCTCTCGCGTCGTGGTTTGCAGGAAGACAAATTTCGTGCATTCTCAATGATTTTAGAGAATATTCCAAAGCTTGATCATAATCTCCCTTCGCTCGATAAATATTCGCAATATTCCTGAGACTGGCAGCTGTACTGTCATGGTTCGAAGGAAGAGAAATTTCTCGCATTTTCAATGCTTTTAGAGAATATTCCAAAGCTTGATTATAATCTCGCTTCGTATAATAAATATTGCCAATATTAATCAGACACGCAGCCGTACTGTCATGGTTCGGAGGAAGACAAATTTCGTGCATTCTCAATAATTTTAGAGAATAGTGCAGAGCTTGATGATAATCTCCCTTCTTATGATAAATATTCCCAATATTCATGAGACTCGCAGCTGTACGGTCATGGTTCGGAGGAAGAGAAATTTCTCGCATTTTTAAGCCTTTCAGGTAATATTCCAAAGGCTGGTCATAATCTCCCTTCGAATAATAAATATTCCCAATATTCATGAGACTTGCAGCTGTATTATCGTGGTTCGGAGGAAGACAAATTTCTTGCATTCTCAATGATTTTAGAGAATATTCCAAAGCTTGATCATAATCTCCCTTCTTATGATAAATATTCCCAATGTTGATGAGACTCGCAGCTGTACTGTCATGGTTCGGAGGAAGACAAATGGCTTTTATTCTCAATGCTTTCAGGCAATATTGCAAAGCTTGATCATAATCTCCCGTCGAATAATAAATATTCCCAGTAGTCATGAGACTCGCAGCTGTAGTGTGGTGGTTCGGAGGAAGACAAATTTCGTGCATTCTCAATGCTTTCAGGCAATATTGCAAAGCTTCATCATAATCTCCCTTCGCATAATAAATAGTCCCAATATTCCTGAGACTAGCAGCTGTAGTGTCATGGTTCGGAGGAAGACAAATTTCTTGCATTCTCAATGATTTTAGAGAATATTCCAAAGCTTGATTATAATCTCCCTTCGTATAATAAATATTGGCAATATTAATGAGACACGCAGCCGTACTGTCATGGTTCGGAGGAAGACAAATTTCTTGCATTCTCAATGATTTTAGAGAATAGTCCAAAGCTTCATCATAATCTCCCTTCGCATAATAAATAGTCCCAATATTCCTGAGACTAGCAGCTGTAGTGTCATGGTTCGGAGGAAGACAAATTTCTTGCATTCTCAATGATTTTAGAGAATATTCC